GAATAAAATTTTTAAAATTTATTAATTAAATAAATGATTAAAATAAAATATTTTTATATATTTATTTTTTAAAAAATAAAAATAAAAATAAATTAAATAATATAATCCGTGAAAAAAAAAGAAGGAACTCCGTCTCCCTCCCTCCATTAAAATTATTTATGCAAACAAAAAAAAAGTGCTTTCTCTCTCTCACTCTCCCTCTCTTTCCCCTCCAATTTCCTCAATTCAAAAAGAGTGGTAATGTTTCCGAAGTATAGACCGAAAGAATGATGCTCTTTTAAAATATTAATCCTTAAATAATTAAAATCAAATGATTTATATCTGGATATATACTCTTGGGTAGACTTTCAAAGATATGTATATATATATATATATATACACCTTAATACGCTGTTAGTTAGATGATGCTGGAGCCGTTTGACAAATTTTTTTATTATAAATACATTTTTTCCTTAAATTTTGCTTAAATTTATTTTTTAATATATAAAATGATAATTTTATAATTATAATGTTATATTATATTATAAAATTATTATTATAAATTATAAAATAAATAAATATATATTATATAACAAATGAGAAGAAAAAATCAAAACATTTTAGTATTAAAAATATCAAAATATTTAATAATAATTACGTGATGAATTAATAAAATTAGAACTTGCACTATACTTTACATATTTAATAATTGTGATTAAATATTTTAATATTTTCAATGTCAAGATGTAAAAAACTTTTGGATATCTTAATTTTTCCTTTTCTCTATATAATAAATAATTTTTTACATAAAAAAAATATAATAATATTATGTTATAAAAGTATAAATAAAACATTACATGTGTGTGATAATAACTGTATTATTTTTGTATTTCGTGTGATTATAAAAAGACATTTTTAAAAATTAATCCTTTCAACGAGGCTAAATATGACTTAAAGTTATTTACGAAAAAAGAAAAAAAAAAAGCTTAAAGTTATTTACACATTTTCTTTATTTGTTGGGTCAAACTGAGACAGCGGATGTCTGGCCAGTAGAAAGGAAACTGGCAGTAAATTTAGAAAATGAAAGAAAAAAATGATATACCTAGCAGTTTCCGGCATCAACATCCGCCAATAATAAGTCACTGCAGCCGGAACGCCGCCCATCATCAGAATCAACCGCCACGAGATGTCGGCAGCGTCCGGTGTGTAATATTTTGAGGCATGCGATCCCTTCTGAAAGATGGAGCAAATCACCATTGTCATAGCCGAGCTCGCCAAAATCCCAAACCCCTGCATCGAAAACACTGCCGCTATGAACGCTCCACGGGTCCTCTTGTTGGCAAACTCCGACATGATTGTTGCCGATAGCGGGTAGTCTCCGCCTATACCCAACCCGAGCAAGAACCGGAAGAACCCCAGACTCAACAAGACACAAAGTCTTGTCCTGCAAATGGAGAACCCGCACGCAAGAGAACTAAGAACCATGATCATCAGCGACAATCCATATACACGGCGCCGCCCTTTGTAATCTCCAAGGATGCCAAACACGAGTTGACCAATAACTGTGCCTACAAGGGCGACGACAACCAAGGCGGAGATGACTTGAGTGGGAATTTCTTCTTTATTGGGATAGTATACGCCTCTGAGGATTTGGACTATGGGAGTGATGCAGAAGAGATCGTAGGCGTCCGTGAAGAGACCCATGCCAGCGATGACTATGGCCTTGAAATGATAAAATTGGGTTCTCGCGGCGTCAAGCGCAGAAAGAACCTTTAACGGCATGGTTTTGGCTGGTAATGAATGGCTAGCTAGCTAGGAGGAAGAAATATGTGAGATTGTGAGGAATTGAAGTTGTGTTATGTATATAAATATATGTTCAAATAATAGTACAACAACCAGAATGATTTACGGAAGAGAAGCTTATGCACCCATGGGATACCACATCAGTCGTATTTCGAGCCAATAAAAATACACCATTTCAGCATTTTTGTTTCACAATTCATCAATCATTTGATGAAAAAAGCAGAGATGGCATGCTTTTATTGGCTGACATAATATCCCGGTAATACAACAAAATTTTTCGATTTATGGAAAGGGACTAAGAGAGATGGAAGGTAATTTCGTGGATGTGATCGGAAGGGAGACTGCTGACTTTGGACAAAGGATTCCATCGATGATTCGAAGGAAGATTCGAATCAGATGATGGAGGAGTATTCATACGATGTTTCTGTGCTTCCATTTGGGGCTGAGATTTTTGAAGAATGTACCAATTGTTTCTTGGATTATATTAATGACGATGATATTTTGTCTGACCATATTAGAAATGGGTCGGTATTCTCGGGTATAGGGGGACTGTTTCTGGACTATGTGATAAAATATCAAAGTCAGATAAGTTACATCCTGTCCTCTTGTATACACAAACGCTCATGGAATTATCATATCAACAGCGGATAAGGTTTAGAAATGGGGATGACACCACAGATTAAAACGCGTAATGACAAAAGGTGTCAGATTTATGTTACGATCTTCCTAATCCGTGTGGACCTCTTACAATTTTTCCAATTTGGATGATTGGATCTTCATTAACGGTCCACCGAAGGTATTTGCCACGATTGGCGAAGAATTTATTCTTTAAAATTGACATAATCACGAAATTTAATTGGTTTTAAAATTATAGTGTGTTTTATTTTTGTATTATTTTATTATTATTTAAAAAAAAGTTTGATAAAAAAAATGATAACTTACAAAAAATAAAAGAGAAATAC